TTTGGACCTTCAAGGACTATGAGTTTAGGAGGTAATTACTTTGGCTTTGTTATCGTTGATGACTATTCGAGGTTTACATGGACACTCTTTCTTGCTCATAAGTATGATGCACTTAATGCTTTTAAGAAATTCATTAAATTGGTTCAAAATGAAAAAGATTGTCACATTTCATCCATAAGAAGTGATCATGGGGGATAATTCGATCAAGATGGTTTTGATGCCTTATGTGACGAATTAGGCATTGAGCATAACTTCTCGGCCCCCCGTACACCACAACAAAATGGAGTGGTTGAACGGAAAAATAGATCTCTTGAAGAGATGGCTAGAACTATGCTCAATGAGGCAAACCTTCCTAAATATTTTTGGGCGGATGCCGTAAGTACCGCGTGCTACGTGTTAAACCGAGCCGTCATTAGACCGATACTCAAAAAAACGCCCTATGAACTTTACAAAGGAAGAAAGCCTAACCTTTCCTATTTTCATGTCTTTGGTTGTAAAGTTTTCATTCATAATAATGGAAAAGATAACTTGGGAAAATTTGATGCTAAGTCGGATGAAGGAATTTTCTTAGGTTATTCTCTTCGTAGTAAGGCATATAGAGTGTTCAACAAGCGCACTAAGATTGTAGAAGAGTCTATTCATGTTGTCTTTGATGAATTTGATGCTCGCTTGGCGAGAAAAGGTCTTGTTGAAAATGTTGCAGGTTCTCATGACGATGAAGAAGAAATCATTAAGGAATAGGAACCGGAAGAAGAGAAAACGTAGGAGGAAACGGAACTTCCTAAAGAGTGGAGAACGTTGAAGAATCACCCGATTGACAACGTTATTGGTGAAATAACGCAGGGAGTTTCTACTCGTAATTCTCTTAGGAACACAATTAATCACATGGCTTTTGTTTCTCAAATTGAACCAACAACCGTTTTGGATGCTATTAATGATGAACATTGGTCTATGGCAATGCAAGAGGAGCTTAACCAATTTAAACACAATGATGTTTGGGAATTGGTGCCTAGACCTAATGATCATTCCGTTATTAGCACAAAATGGGTGTTTCGTAACAAACTCGATGAAAATGGTATAATCACTAGAAACAAAGAAGCTAAAGGCTACAATGAAGAAGAAGGCATTGATTATGAAGAAACTTATGCACCGGTTGCACGTTTAGAAGCTATTCGTTTATTGCTTGCATTTGCATCTACAATGGATTTTAAACTTTATCAAATGGATGTTAAAAGTGCCTTCCTTAATGGTATCATTCAAGAGGAAGTGTATGTCGAACAACCCCCGGGTTTTGAAGACTATGAGTTTCCCGAACATGTCTTCAAACTCAAAAAGGCGCTTTACGGTCTCAAACAAGCACCTCGTGCTTGGTATGAACGGTTAAGCAAATTTCTTTTGGACCATGAGTTCAAACGGGGTCAAGTCGACACTACTCTTTTTATCAAGAAAGATAACCAAGACATCCTTTTGGTTTAAGTTTACGTAGATGATATCATATTCGGTGCTACTAACGAAGTTTTGTGCAGGGATTTTTCCGATATGATGCAAAGTGAATTTGAGATGTCGATGATGGGAGAATTAAAGTTCTTCCTTGGGCTACAAATTAGACAATGCAAAGCAGGGACATTCGTGTGTCAAACGAAATATTGCAGGGAGTTGTTTAAGAGATTCGATGTTACCGAATCCAAATCCATTGACACACCGATGAGCACCTCTTGCTATCTCGACAAGGATGAAAAAGGTAAAGAGGTGGACATCAAACGCTACCGAGGTATGATCGGCTCTTTACTTTATCTTACCGCGAGTAGACCGGATATCATGTACTCCGTTTGTATATGCGCTAGGTATCAATCTTGTCCTAA